CCATCACAAACGAAAAAAAGGCTCTGAGCAAGAAGGAGCATCGGGACTGCGAGAGCCCGGACCCCGAGGAGCCCTTCTCCCTCACCCCCCGCACAGAGGAGAAGTACAAAAAAATTGACGAGGAGTTTGATAAAATGATGCAGAGCTATAGACTGTCAGTGAGTACTCGCTAGGGGAATGAGAGCACCCCGAAATCCCTCCCCTGTCCCCCATTCCAAGCCCTGTGCAGAGGTGTGTTTGCCAGAGGGGGGCGAGGGGAGACAAGCATGATGATGATGACGATGGCCTCTTCATTTGCCTGCTAGTTCGCTGTCCCTTCTGTGCCGTCAGCGACTCTGCCTTCAGTTCCTGCTGGGGAGTTATGTGGCTGGGAAGGATTAAGAATGAGAGGAGTACGTCATCCAAAATATTAGGGTTCCCCCCTCCTCCCCATGCCTAGCGTTAGACAGACTTCACCTTCACCAGACTCTCGCCATCCCTGGCAAAAACAGTCCTTCCGGCTGAAAACTGGATCAGTCACACACACACACCCCTCAGCACCCCCTAAACTCAAGGCAGTCCTGCACGTGGGGACGGCATCAGGCAGCACATCGTTCAGGCTCTTGTGGTCTGGAGTACATGCCCACCCCCCTGATCAGGGTGCCCTTGCTCTAATCAGAGGACAGTCACCTTATGCCATAGAGGGGGTGCTGTTGCCCATGTCTTGGCCTACTGTAGCACTCGAGAGTTCGGGAGCAGCTGCAGGAGCATCAGAGCTTCAGAAGCGAGGGGTGTGAAAGCAAAGAAAAACTCATGCAGTAAAACTAGCAGGGAATGCGATCAGCAAACTGACACCCGCATATCTGTTATCAGTAATTATGCATCACAGCCTTCGCAATGTTAGCATTTGCAGAAGACATGGAAAGGGTTTTGCATTTCCTTTCCTTTGCTAAAAACGTGTAAGTTTGGATCTGTCAGGTGGATTATAATTCTTTTATCTTTTCAGATGATCTCCTGCAGCTATCCATAGCTTTGATAAACGCAGACCAGGTTCTGCCTGAGGGCTGAGCACAAACTGCGACTGTGGTTCAATTACTGTGGAGTGTACAGTGCAATCCAGGCTTGCAGGGAGCGCAGGGTCCCAGCTGCTGATGGACAGATAGATGTTGAATAGCGTAAACAAAGAGGGCTCCTGAGGTTCTGCTGCTCCCCAGCTCTGCACAATCTTGGGCACGGTGTGCTGAGGTGTGCGTCAGTGATTACCTTCCCCCACCCCACACCCACTTCCTCTTAGTCAGAGATCATCCATAACTCTTCCCACGAGCTGCGACTGCTCGAACAGTCCGGTTGCCATGGCATTCATCACTCTCCGCAGGATCGGAGGCACAGAGAAATCGCTGGCGGCACACGCAGGTACTGGGAGTCAGCAGGCGCTCGGGACTGGGCTGCCCCTTCGAAGCCCAGCTCTGTGTGTCAAGACCGCGTGAGCCTTCTGGGAGTTCTGCTCTGGAGAGACGTCACCCTGGCCAACAGAGGGAGCTTGTCTGGGCAGGACGCGCGCGCTGCTTGTTAATGAACTCGCAATATTGACTGCCACCACTATAATCATCACCGACAGTCTTGACAGTGGTTAGAATTCCTCAGTGACCGATCCATACTGATCTTCACAGCCAGTCTGCAGTTTTCTGTGCATCTTATTCGCGAAAGGCCTCTGTGGTCTCCTATGCTATGCTACTGCATTCTTTTTCCATTTTCCCAGAATCCAAGAGGGCCGAATGGCCTTCTCTCATTTAATGCCCTTGTTCTTTAAACTCCTTCAGGGTTCTTTTAAGTTTTATTTAACTAGATACTGTAGGTCAGCTGAGAACAGATTCCCAATTAAAGGGGCGACCTGGAGAATCTGTTCTGCAGCAGGGTATTTACTAGAGCAGTTCTGCTCGAGGGCACTAACCTCCAGCAGAATCCTCAATGAGATTTGAACCTGTGGTCTTCCATTTGGGACATCAGAGCCCTGAGCTCTACCCCCAAATGCTGCCTGGATTATTTGCTCTATTATCCATACAAACCCTCTGGACATCTGATTGGGAGTTTTAACTTTTTTTTCCCCACTCGCAGCTAATAATTTAGAGCAGCGGATTGTAATATGGGGTGTGAGGTGCCCTCTCTGGGGGGGTGTGAAACAGGCCAGATTATTTTTAGAAGGTGAACCATAATTCAACAATTTTTGATCAGGGGTGCAAGAACACCCAAAGAGGTGCACCTGTAGTAAAGGCTAAGAATCACTGATTTAGAGCAAAATCACACAGTACATTTTCTTTTTTGCTTTCACGCTTAAATGTGTCTGGAACTCGCATGCAAATTTAGAGTCAAATTTAAAACAAATGAATGATGTCTTAAGTCATGAATCTTTCTCTGTGTTCATTACATTATTATGGTAATGTCAGTCAAATGTACAATTACTTGTCTTCCGACCTGGCCCTGCAAATTTTTAATGCGTCGTAAAAATGATGTGATGCAGCGCCTTTCGTGACGGCACATTGCAAGGCAGTTTGCACCTTTCGCTGAGCAGATCCCTCTTGGCGGAGCTTGTCAGCTGTATCTAGAACTGGAAGGTGGCACCAGTAGCAGGCTAGGGTTAACAGGTGCAAGTCAACAGCCACAGACTGTGTTTCCTAGCCATTGCAGTCGTGTCCGAACTCCCTTGCCGCGGTGCTTTCCTCAAGTCCAGTCAAGCTCCCTGTTCACTCCAGGGCGGAATCGGAAACAGCTCACGCTGTCGTGCTCTGCAGCAGAGACCTCCCTCCCCTCTTTGGTGTACACACCTCGCACGGGCCACAGGAAGTGTCGCATACAGCACTATTCCCACAGGCACGGCCTGTAGCCTTGACGTGACAAGATAGGGACTGATGGGATGCACATCCCTCCTTAAATCCCAGAACAGGGCTCCCCAAGTCTGCTTCCGAAGGATAACAGTCATGCAGGTCCTGGAGGCCTCCTTAAACTTGGCCGTTTCGGGCCTATGCACAAAAGACTCAAGGGCCCATCGAGCAAGTTAACGAAAGATGTATGCTGCTGGGACCTACAGACCCTGCTGGGCTGCTCGCCCTGCCTTAGCATATCTTGCCACCCATGCCTTTCCTGGAACTCATGTTGTTGATCGCATTGTCGGACAAGCGGAGATGGCATGGAATCCTGGGAAATCGGGAAAACAAGACTGATGGTCCCTCTGGCTCTTGCTGTTCTGTCCACCTGCTTGTTGAGAGTCCTGGTCATCCATGTGTGGCCATGGGGCCCACATTCATTCTGCCTGACCAGCAGGCTGCCAACCCTTTGCCCGCCTTGCTCCGTGGTTTCTAGTGCTCATCACCAGCTCGGAGTGCTCCTTTGATATCGACTTCACCTGCAGAATACTGGAAAGTTTCTACAAAAACAGGAGCGCAGCCCGTGCTTTCTCCTCAAATACAGATGTCCTCCATTTCCCAGGTGGTTCTAAAGCCCTGGCTCTTCCTCCTGATCTAGATGGCTTAGGGTCCATCTGAGCTTTTAATTGACTTAATTGACCTCATTCAGTTTCTCCTCTCCCTCTCCATGCATTAGAACAGTCATCAGTTATTATTTCCTGATCCAGTATTGTTCATGTATTTACACAGGACTGAATCCCTGGGCTCCTGTGTTTTATTTTAGCACTCTTTATCTGATTGGCAGGTCTTCTAGCTGCTAAAATGGATCTCCCTTAGCTGTCATGCCCTGAGGGTCCGGGGTGAGATACTGTCTGATTAAATGACACCCTTCTTTTTAATTTCAATCTTTTAACAACCAAGAAGTCTTCATCTAGAGCGCTTGTGCACCAGGGAGGGCTTGGGTGCTATTTGCACTAACATGGGGAGAGAACACGACCTCAGAAATATATTCCAGCTTTTCCTCAGGATTGACTTGATTCAAGCTAGTAAGTTGAGTTATCCCCTAATTACTTAATTGGCCCTAAGGCTTAGGATCTTTTACCAACTAGGAATTAGCCAGAATAGAGAGTTACAATGGAATGCAAGAAGAGGGACACACCGAAGCTATCTACTGGGTCTGGGCCTGTATCGCACAACCAGCTGTGATCCGTGTTGGTCAGAGTGGGGGCGTCCAGCCTGAGACATCTGGTACGCTCCCATCTGGGTGATGGGGGCGTGGAGCAGAGGGTTTTCAGTCTCCTTGGCCAGAGCAGCAGGGCAGGGACTAGGAGAATGGGACAAGTTAGAATCGGGCAAATTAAGCTTAAAGAGAAGGGGAAAAAACATGCTTGTGCACTCGTTTTCCAGGAGAACACGGTAACTTTTGCAGACTTCTGGGGCACAGAGGAGAAAAGTAGGGCATAGAATTAATTTGCCTTGATAGCAGCACATCAGCGCAATTCACCAGAGTGGAGTGCAGATGAGAAAAATGGGTTAGTTGTGTAGCAGCCTGTACAACAAAGAAATGGGCTTGCAATGGAGGGTATAACACAGGAGATAGGGGGCCAAATTTGTGCTAACCACTAATATGTTCGGAATGTGCGAACAAATATAATCATGACATACAGTAATACCCATTTAATCTAATGGGGATGTATTCATTTGCATAATTAACCCCTTTTTCTATTAAAAAAGAGAGCACCTAATAAGCTAAGAGGTGTGATCTTCACCTTTTAAAAACTGAAGTTACAGTCCCAATTCATTAAGAATAAATATTGATATCCTGCAGGAAAACTCTCCATTTTCAGTAATCCACCTTTGGTGCAACTGCTAAAAAGCTGCATCTCACCCCTTGTGGTCATTTGAGGAAGCTTTGATTTTTATCCTTAAACAGTTGACCCCCGCTGCAAACCAGATGGTTAAATTAAATAAGTTATCAGAGAAGCTACCCTGCCTATTCGTCAGCAAGCATCAGAGCCAGCTTGAATAACGTGGTAATTGCAGTTGTGTTATAAAGCATGTGCTTTGTTACGGTAGTCAATGCATGGAAAATATTCATTGCAGAAGATAAAGCAGATGGAAGGATCCGAGATATTTAGAATATATTGTGGACTGTGAGGACCTGTAGCAGTAGTGGGCTCTTCCTGGTGTATTAGGCTCTGAGCATTTTCCACAGATGTCATGCTCATCTAATGCCCTTGACCACTGCTGACCAGTGGACAGCGGGGCAGCGAGGAAACACTCACCCGCCATGATGTTTAAAACCCCACACCCATGAGGAGGGCCTGTCTTCTGAAATCCAAGCCCCCTCAAACTCAGGCCGGGCTCAGCAGGGTTATAAGGTGGACGCTGGCTCTCTGGACTAGCGGACCGGCCGAACTGGCCAAGGATGGGGAACAAATTCTCGCACTGACCCACATCGGTCAGTCCGCAGCTCCCTGGACACTACAGCTGCTTGAACAGCAGGTCCTTACCAAACCAGGCGGCTGGCAGGCTTGTCAACTACACCTGGAATTTGCAGGATTTCAACAGCTGCTTTGACACTTCACCAGACTCTGACCATCAGTTTTGAAAAGCAAGTGGACAGTTCCGAGAAAATTGGTTCCCTCAAAGTTCCGGACGTCTCGGAATGAAACGAAAGGAAATGTCGCCGTTTTCACAGCTGTGAAGAAATGCTGTCGTTGTCTGTGTGGGGAACCCTGTCGGGCTGTTGGGTCACGTTTGGCTCTTCTGATTGCAAGACCCTGAGCTTCGCAGCACCTCAATTACTTAATTGAGTCTTAATGGCTTAATCGACTGTGGCAGCAGTTTGAAGGGGCCGGAAAACCCATAGCAACTGTAGCCTCCCTTTCAGTATCAAGTGCTGTATGCCTCACTTCCCACACAGCACCCACACCACCACTAACGCCTGGCTTTGACTGACACTGTGGAGTGCTGGAGCATGCCGCCAGCATGTTTGTGCGTGGCCGTCTCTGCCAATACTATGGACCCTGGCGTTCGGAGACGCTCCCTCCCCAACACACTTGCCAACGCACCGTGTGCCGACCTGGCCTGCCTGGCCCAAGGTGTTGCCGTGTTGCGTTCCCAGGAACGGGGAAGGTCTTTCTTGAAGCCCGTGGCAGGGCACTCAACCCTGTGGCTCAGAAAAGTACGTGGCGGAGATCCTAACCCATACCAGAGTCGCCGGTTCCGACAGCCACACAGGTTCTGGGCAAAGTCTGCGGCCAGCTGCCCTGTTAAAGTGTGCAGCTGCGATGCGGAGCTGGAGTCCAAATACAGTGGACCAGTCCACCTTCCCCTCACCCACACCTGTCCAGTATGCCAGGTTATATCTCCCCCGCAGGTACGGCAGCATTACTAACCAGTGGGGGACAAGCTGTACTACCTGCTTCTACCTTTTGTGTTTTTCTAACGGTTTACTGTGGTATCTTGTGCGGCGCAGTTGTGTGGTACCATTCCTGTGGTTTCACGCTATTGCTACACGTTGGTTTGCTTTGCCATTTCACACCGTACTAGTCTGCTTTTCCCGCGTTCTGACCTCCCTGTACCGCCACTTTACCACGTTACACCAGAGTAAGCTTTTCTAATGGTCTGCCTGGGTGCGCCTGACAATGGATTCTGAGTTTGTTTGTTTTTTTTTCTTAACCTTGTGATTTCTGTGTCATTGCGTGTGTTCCTGTGCAGGTCTGCCTGCTTTGCCAAAGGCCTGAAGGACAGCCAATGACTGTCCAGCTGTTGAGTGGGGGCTAGCCAATCATGGTTTACCTAGTTAGCTAGTGATGTCATAGAAGTTGTATGACCTCATCCAAGACATATGGTGGAGGTCTGATATGGAGCTAGGGCACTGTACAGTTCTGCATCCTGGAAGTGTTTGGATTGTGCTGGGTTTTGTGTTGTTTGGCACAACCTGGGTTCAGGTCTGTAATCTCTAGATCACCCCACACTCACCACGCACCATCTAGTTTGAGGGGTGGGAGGTGTGAGGGGAACCATATCAATGCCGCGCCATGGTCCGTTGGCCGTCAGCGAAAATGAAAGCACTTAAAATTCTCTTGTAGTCTCCACAACCACTCCCCCCGCCCCCCCCCTCCAAAAAAAAAAAACATAGACACAACAGCAGCGATTTTTCTAAGAGCTCGCGGGAAGGGAGGGCAAGAGCATGTGAGAACCGTGGTGCCGGGGGGGAAGCCAGATGACTTTCACCAGCTCTTCAAACTGGGTCCTGTTCACGACATCTGAGGACACTCTTGTCCCACATTCTAAATATAGCCTCCCCATTCACGGAGGAATAGGGGAAAATGGGTTGCTCTAATAAGGCTCCACCAGTACAAAAAGTTCCCGTTGTGATGGATGGCCGGCTGGCTGTAACTTGAACAGGGTGACTCATGATTCCGGGAAAAGAACGGCGCTCTTGCGAGTGCTGGTCGAAAGCAGCCCCCTTGGACAGCGATGGGGCTCTTTCCTGTTATTTCTCTTCTGACTGTCTATTCCTGGTGTGAGCCGCGGCTTTCCACTTCCACTTCGGTTTTACTTCCGTATTCCTTTCCTATATAATCTTCCACACACACAAAGAAAAGCTTTGGCAAAGTCTTTTAAAAGCCGATCACGAGCCAGGATGGGGAATCAAACTTAGGGTTGTTCAATACTATTAAAGGGGGGCATTAAAGAACTATAGTGTGCAACACTGAAAAGCTTCCCTCTTCCTCGGATCTGGAAAATGTATCCTTTGAATGTCTTTGTTGTTTTATGACATATTTAATGTTATAAAAAAAAACATCAACCACCAATGGTTGGTTAGTATGGCCGTATGTTTCTTGTATATGCACTTGGCTTATACAGTGATTCTGATTCTGATTAATCACAAGCAGCTGCACAACTGTCTTTTCCGTGTGGGTGAGGATTTAGTGAATGACATCTTATGATCCCATTCTTTTCCTTCCATAAACAGTTCCTCTTAAATTGCGGAACAGCTGGATTAAACTTGTCCTTCATATCGGACAGGCAGAGAGAGTGAGCTAGGTTTAGGTTTAGGTGATGCTGCCCGAGTTTCTGAGTGCTTCCTGCATATCAGGTGATATATATATCCCAGGAAGTTGTGGTGGATGTTCTGACAAAAGACCTCTTTTTTTTTTTCCCTCTCCATCTCAGTCGGCAGTCCCACCTCCCACTTTCTCAATGCCTGTCACGGTCCCAGTGTCCAATCAGAACGCACTACAGTTCAGCAACCCCAGCGGTGCCCTGGTTACGACCTCCTTTGTGACATCATCGCTCTCGGACCCCCGCCTCCTGTCGCCTCAGCAGCCCGCGCTACAGAGAAACACAGTCTCCCCAGGGTTGCCACAGAGACCGGCCAGCGCAGGTAAGTCCCCTGATGCGACCCTCTTGTTGAAACATCAGCTGGGAAATCATTCCCAGACACGGTCCTGTCTTTATAATTAACATGTGCCTTGTTTTCTGCATATACTGTAGTAATTTTGCCCGTTTTGTCTTGCTGTCACATTGCTTTTCCTTGTTATGTTCTGTAGCTGTATAACTTAACTGTCCAAAAGGGTGGACATTTTTCACCGTTAAAAAAACAAACAACATTCAACATTAAATTAACGCATATTAATTAACAATCGTCCTAGCCATGCAACAATACATACACATCTCCCTCTGCTCGTATTGCTCATCTGTTAGCTTAATACAGGAAAAAATTGCCTATAGTAGCTGCGTTTAATATACCGACTGCACAGAGAACAAAGGATTTCTTCTACAAATTTTTCTAGGCCTTTGGCATTCTGAAATGCTTCCCATGAGGTAGCAGTTTAAAATGGGAAAGCGGAGGGTGGGAGGTGAGATTTAGTGTACAAGTCTCTCTTTCACTCTCTAGGGTCTTTATCAGATCCCGCTGTGGTAGTAATAAGGTGGACTCTTATTATTATTATTATTGGTGAGCTTTTATAGGGGCAGTGTCCACTAGGAGCTGGATTCCCAAAGGAATTCTCATTGTGTACTTGAAGGCGCTGGTTGGACAACCTGAGAATCTGCGCTGGGTTACAGTACGACTTTCTGAAGAACAATTAGTTTGTTGCAGTTGGTTCAACAGCCGGTTACTTCATTGCCCTCAGTAATATAAGTGTTCTCTGCCTGCTTTCAGGAGCTCTTCTGGGAGGCGATTTGAACAACTCCAATGGAGCTTGTCCAAGTCCAGTGGGTGAGTCAATCAATCAGCAGATTCAGCCAGTCATTCGTTTATTCACAAAAGCACCTTTTGCACCAGTGTGCTGCAGAGCGCC